TTACGGCACCAGCACAAATAACTGTGCTGTTTTTGGCGGAGCCTCGTCTCTGGTGCTGTGCACGGATTGAAGATGGAGCAGCCAATCAGAGGAGCTTATGCGAACAGGTCATTGCGGACCAAATCGCAATTTGCATTTTGTTCTATTCAATTAACTGTCACTAAATTTGTAGTCCACACCCTGTAACTGCCACTCAGTTGCGCAAAAATGCCGAAGCGAATCCGGTGGACCGAGCTGGCGCTCGCCTCCGAGGCGGCCGAAGGCGAATCGATCCTCGAGCGCCTGAAGGCGTTCGACATATGCAAGAGTAATACTCTGGTGTGCACCGTGTGCACATTGGCTGTGGACCCACACAAGATGCGTTATCGTCTCCTGAAGTGCAAGTCCGAAACGTGCAGCGAGGCCTCGGAAGTGGCGTGTTCGTGGCGCGGCAAGCTGCTCACGTGTCTCTCTACACCTCGTATGTCTATCTACGAATCGGGTGTCCACACAACTCTGCTAGCTTCCCCGCAGAGAAAGAAGAAGCTCACGACTGCGCAGAAGACGTTCTGCCGGGAGATGGCAGCTCATCACCTCAGGCCGCAACGCATCCGACATGCGCTGGCGCGCAAGTTTGACACGTCTTTGGAGAATTTGCCTGGACTTCAAGTTGTCCAGAACTTCGTGAACCACTACAGCCGATCGTCCTTGCAGAACCACGACCGAGTGGATGAAATGCGGGATTGGGTCCACGCGAGGGTTTTTACGGGCGCTGAGGCCCTGGATCAACCTTTTACTTTTGCGTGGAGACTGGATTGTGATGGGAGGCCGGTAGTTGGCAATGGATCGAACGAAAGTCCTTTTGTACTAGGGATATCAACGAAGACTATGATTATGCGGCTACATTTACCAGAGGACAGCTTCATTCTACACATTGACGCCACTTATAAAATGAACCACCGTGGCTACCCAGTCGTCGTTGTTGGAGTGTCCGACCGGTCCCGGGGTTTTCATTTGGTGGCTCTATACATTGTGTCACAAGAAACGCACCGTATTTTTGAGGAGGTGTTGCTATCTTTACGTCGTCAGTACTACTATCTCAGTGGAAGGGAGCTATCGGTCCGCAACGTTATGGCGGACGCTGACAGGGCACAGTACAACGCGATCTGTACGGTGTTTTCTGACTGCGCGGGTTTCCAGTTTCTGATGTGTTTTGTTCATGTGATTAAAAACATCCAGAAGGCTATTAAGGGATTTCCCTCGGTTGTGTCGGCTTCCTTGATAAGAGACGTGTATGATTTACACTTTGCCCGGAGCGAAATGGAGTTCAACGGACTTCGAGACCGCTTTTTATTGCTGTGGATGCAGAATCCGTTTTTAGTGGCTTTCGCTCACTATATGAGAGACCAGTGGCTCTTTGGACCTTTTTCAAAGTGGCAGCGGTACCTGACGCCGTCGGGCTTTGCTGCAACGAATAACCCGTCGGAGACATTTAATGCTCTACTGAAGCGGGACTACACACTGAGAAGACGACTGAAGATGGGCACTCTAGTACAAGAACTGGCAGCTTGTACCCACGATCTATCCTCCGCCACGAGGAAACTCAGTTTTGCCATAGCAGTGCCAGCAACCCTCACGCGAAGGGTCTCCGAATTGATGAAGGAAAGGTTGATTGGGGTGTGGAACGGGGTAGAACCCCAGCCTGCGTATGCTGGAGGGCACACTCTGGTGTACGTAGCTTCGCAGCTCGCAAAACGTGTACAAGTTGCGCCTCACAAGCGGTCAGAGGAAGGGGTCGCAGTCTCGGCCCAGATGGGGGCGAACTATGCGCGCATGGAGGTCGAAGGCCAGCCGTGGGGTGGCTAGCCAGTGGATATCACGAGTCGTTGGTGTCCTTGTAGCTATTGCTATGCGTTTGGCGTTTGTGTCCATGTCTTTTACGCCCTGAAGGCCACCCAGCATGTTGACAGCAGCGGAAGGAACGTCTTCGTAAACCGCAACAAGCGAAAGCGAGGTGGCGACTCTTCAGGTGGCAGACCGCTGTCGGTTGGGCCTGCGCTTACTTTCTAGAGGCTCCAGCACAAGCTTTACGTGGACTCCGGACGTGCGGAGCGTTGTATAAGGCTAACAAGGGTCACGGGCAAAGGATATACCCGAGGGTTTGCTAGAAATGCTCCAGAACAATCACAATCGAGATTTACGTAGCAGTGGGTAGTGCAGCGTGCGCATTTATCCAGATAGCAACTAGTTAACCCGAGGAAAAAGTTTCACTCGCTTTATCCTAACAGAAATGCCCCCATGTAAATCGTGTTTCCCTTGTCAGAACTGCCTAAACGTTGTATTTACTTTCTCTGAGGTCAACAATATGCTATCGAAGGTTCCTACTACACTGCCTACTCGAGGGTTTGTACTCATCTAGTTTAGTTGCTGCCATCTTCCTCCGACCAGCACTGATCGCAGGCACAGTTAAACCACGTCTGGTTCCCGTAATTCACCGTAATTTGAGCGCCTGCATATACACTCTCAATCATCCGCACGAGCACTTTGACATTGGCTCGGTTCTGGAGCTCTACGAAAGTCGCGTTCGGCGTACATGAATGGCTGATAAAACGAGTGATTGAGCCGCACTTGTGAGCCTCCAAGTACACGTACTTGTTATTGCGCGACTTCGCGTTCAACGACATTGTGTATTCAGTATTCTGCTTCATTTTTTGCCCTGGCATTCCAGTTATGATCGGATCGTACGCGCTGAGCTCGCCTGCGTACTCTCCAATCACATCGCCGACACACAAGTCCGTGGTGGTGAAGACGCCGGTCCCAAAACGACCCGTGTCGAGCAACTTCAGGGTCTGTAACGTCTTGGGAACATTGCTGCACTTACAATCCAAATTACACGAGGTCGGGGTGCAGTACAATGCGCTGTCAGTGTTTTCGCACGTGTCCATGAAGCAATCACCTGTACAGGAACACCGGCCGAAGTCACCGATGTCTGGGAACTTCACATTCTCCGGATTGCTGCACTCTTCAATCCTCATGACGTTCACGGGCCACTGCACCTCAATGGGCAAGAAGTAGCCAGATGTAGGTGGCTCTTCATAGGTGGAGCGACGTTGGTGGAGCTCTCATAGCCGCTTGCGCAGACCCAAAATACGTAGGATGGCCTTGATCTTCTTAGCCTTTGTTGAATGCACGTGGTAGATGTGTGATCCGCTTCGGGTCACACCGCAGAGTCGTTGATGGCGCCGTTTGCGGGATCGTGGTTGGGTCCACTCTTCAGCCTTTACCTTTTTCTGGTGGCGCCGCTTTTGGCGCTGCCATCGCGTTGGCACGGTCTCTACAAACCCCGTCGCCGCCCGCAGCTCGGCGTCCGTCACCTCGGCCTCCACAATGGACTCCATCCGCCGCAACTTGTTGCGCGACCAAGGAGGAGACAATGGCACGTCAGTCGAGGTGCTATTATCCTCTCCGTCCACCGCAGCGCCTTCTCCATCCTCACCACCGTCCTCTCCATCCTCCGGAGCGTCACCGTTCATGTCGTTACCGCTATCGACGGCCGTGACATCAACTATCACATGTGGTGGCTGACGGAGGGTACATGAAGGCAAACCCTCGGGTACAACCTGGCTATCCGACGCTCCAGAGCTAGTGGAGTCGCTCTGCAACCGCTCTGATACTGGAATGGGCGCTCTGGGCGCGCTGGAGCGCTCTGCTTCATGGACTAAGGACTTTGAAAGCCGCGAAGCCGTTCCATCGCTCTCGGAAGGCAACACCGCTCGTATGGAGGCAAAGACCTCGTCTAGATGCGCCTTGAGGGCGTCACGAAGGCGTATGGCCCGTGTGAGCGCTTCGTACATCCCCGGAACTAGTTGAAAGGATCGCAGTTTGCGCCAACGAACTCTGTCCAGGAACAGTGCGGTGCCAGCGATGTCGAAGCGACGACGCACCATATTCGTCATGGGGAGTGTTTCCTGCGTATCCAGCGTGACTGGATACGGGTCGTTGCGTGTGCCTGATATCTTCAGGACGACCCCCACCCGATGTCCGCGGCGATCACCACACACAAAGGCTTGTGAATAGTACTCTAGTACATCGCCTGGCCGCAACGTCTCTGGGGGGAGCTGCGAGGCGCTAACCCCCACCATTGCGGTCCCTGGAGTTCTGGAGCACCTGAGAGCGCTGGACACCTGGGCGGTGGTGGTGATTCCCGAATGAGATGCATGACGATCGCAAAAGTAACTTTGAATTTTCAAAATAAATGCTACTTTACTTACTTTTAACAAAAGTTACTTTACTTAGCAACACTTCAGGTACCAGTTGCAGCGTCAACGTGGCAAGCTGTGCAATTAAAAGGGACGAATGGCCGGTGCTGTTTCTGTCTTTTTGTGTTTTAATCTTCCCGGCATTGTTGTGCTGGTCAGATTTCTTCGTGTGTTTTTAACGTTTCCTCGGACACAGCATCGTTTTGTTTAGTTTGCCCACCAAGTTTGATTGCATTCGATTCGTTGTCACAAGAATATGGATTCGTGAATTAACACGCTCACGTGCTCCGTCAAGCCATTCATCACAAGTATTTACTGAAGTAAAAGGGTTTAAAAGTGTAGTTCAGATGAAGCACATTTTGTGATTTATCAGAGCTACACTTTTAAACCCTTCGTGAGTATTCGGATACTACACTTTAAGTGTGATTCCCCCCCCAATAACTTTTTAAAGTTTAAAAAAGCTCACAGCCACTTTACCTACAATTCTCCATTACCACCTCCCTATTATCGACAACCACACGATTCAAGTTTTTTTGTGCGTTTTCACTAACGTCTGGGATTTTCAACCAAGATGGGACGTACCTTTCCGCAACGATTTCGGTAGTCTTCTCTGCTAGCCCAACGGCAATTGGCTGCTCCGCTCGCACAGCAAGCAGGGAAATCTATCTTCCGATGAGCATTGAGGTTACGGTGTTCGTAACTATAGTATCAGGGACAATCCCTCGATTCATTTCGAAAAAACTTTGCCGCTGGACACACGAGATGAATCTCCGTCGATTCGCCGCGTCCGCTTTTGTGGGCGTATTGGGTCTTGCATCCACCACCCCGCACATGGAGGTGCAGGCTCAGAAGTGCACAGCGAAGGAAAACACTTTCGGTTTCCTCGTGGACGCGTTACCGACGAACTACGGTCTCAACACTTGCGTGGCTAACAATGTCGGAACAATCGCTTTGGCTGTTGCCAGCACCCTCTTCAGCAGTTGTGGCGTCTTGGATATCTACGATCTGGTCAAGAATAATGATTTCAAAGGACTAATGAGCCTGTTCAAATCCATCGCTGCGAAACCCGCTGACATCTCCCCGCTCGTCTACAAATACATGGCTGCTCAAAACGACGACAGTGTGGACAATTTGTGTGATGCCTTTAGCGGAGCTCTTGGACCCTGTGGCGAGAAGGTTTTTTCGAAACTCCTTCCGGCGTTTCTAAAGGACGACGTATGCTGCGCTGATATTAGTGATCTGATCGACCTCCTCAACATCGTCGTCCCTGCCGACAAGAGCATGGAGTTTTTCATAGTTAATGAACTCATCGACGGCTTTAACAGGTTTCTATGCTCGAAGAAAGGAGACGCGTCGTGCGGTCTCGACATGTTTTCGCAGTTGACGAAGAAGTATACGGTTGAAAATTTTGATTTCTTCCAGCACATGGTCCTCCCGTTCATGACAGTCGGTGGGGGAGAGGAATGCTCAGGATTATCAGGTAACCCTTACAAGGACACAGCTTTACAGGCATCAGCTACGACCATCAACTTCGGGTGCTGCATACATCAGATGCGTCCGTTTATCCAGACCATTCAAGCCGCTGTTAAGTACGTTACCGGCGATGAAATCTGGGACATCGCAAGCGGCATGGTGTCGTTCAAGTCTCCCAAGGGTGGCTTCGTGGATACCCTGACAGGCACCAAGACTTGCGAGTTCGATGGTGATTCGTGTGATGACCCCAAGGGAATGGCTGATGATCTGGAAATGACACGTAAACCTGGAGGGAAAAACCCGGGCAAGAACGACCTGATAGATACCGACTGCAAACTTGTGGATAAGTGCAGTGGAGACCAATCCGTGTGTAGCCAAGTGTGCGATAGAGGCTCAGTAGCTGTCCCGGAATGGCTTAAGTCGACTCTGGCTTACCAACGTAACTTGGCGTTCAGTGGCCCATTCTGCTTTGCTCAAATCCCAGCTACACACAACAGCGCCATCACACTTGCCGATGGCTTTGGCAACCGTGACCAGCTCTTCAACAAGAATTTGAATCCGGATAAATGGTGGTCGTACCTCAAGACTAACAACCAAATGCTGAGTATGACCGACCAGCTCGATATTGGAATTCGGTTCCTTGAAATTGATACCCATTTCTTCCTCAACGACCTTCGAACGGGACATTGTGGCTCTCTCGGCTCCGAGGCGGTAGCAGGATTCTTTGGTACATTAGGTAAGACACTTGGTAACTACGGCACGTACAACTGGGGACCAGAGTTGCTGGGTTGCTTCCCGTCGATCTCAGGCATTAAGGCATCGGAGCAACCTTTGACAAAGGATTCCATGGATGAGATCAAGGCGTGGCTGAACGCAAACCCGACGGAGTTTGTCGTCGTCTACTTGGACACTGGAGCAGACATCAAGCGGTCGGACAAGTTCGGAGCTATCGACACTTTGTTTACCGATACCTTTGGAGATTCTCTCGTCCCTCTGAAGGCTCTGGATGACTTGGCCAAGGGAAAATGGACAGGTGGTCGTATCAACGACTTTATCAATGCTGGACACCAGGTGTTGGCTCTTGCGAACACCAAGACAAAAGCTGCCTACAGTCTGTACGACATGTGCACTGCCGAGAAGGATCTCACTGTCGAATTTATCGACGATCTACCAGATGCTAAGCGTCTGATTAACGGGCTTGCGATCTATAGCAACACGAACTGGATCCGGTCGTGGTCAGAGCAAATTCGATACATTTCGCTTGCAGCGTCGGGAGCCCTTACGAGGAAGTTCCCGGTGTTCTTGGATGCGGAGAGTATCCCCAAGTATCTGAGGTGGAACGTGAACCTCATTGCATTGGATAATGCAGACATTGCTAAGATGGCAGCACTGGTTTGGTCATGGGCAGAGAAGGAGCCGAGCACTACAGTGGCCGACGCATATGTGCTTATGGATGTGAATGGCCGTTGGGTAGCCAGCACGGACGCGAAGAAGGGCTCACGGGCGTGTTGGGACGGCGCGAAGCTAGCGTGGTCCATCGTCGCCTTTGCTAAGGATTGTCCCGCTGGAACAGCCTTTAAAGCCCCGACAGATCCGTATCAGAATTATTTACTTCACGAGGCGCTCAAGGCTCAGAAGATCGCAGACACGTCGATTGTGATCAACGCAACGCTGACGGCAGTTGGAGCTCCAACTCCTGTGCCGTCTGAGGTGGCAGTCGTCACAGACGCTACACCTGCTGCCCAAACTGGCGGCTCTACTGCTGCCCAGACTGACACAGGCGGTTCTGGTGCCGCTCAAAGTGACGCAAACAGCACGTCAAATGCAACACCTTTTTGTAGAACGGAAGGTGGGTGCGGTGGCAAATAGTAGATGTAATAAAATTTATGTTTGTTTTCATCACGGTACCGGTATTGTGAGTAAATTGGGTAAATAATGTTTGTCCGTTTCGTATTTAATACGAATTGGACTAAAGTACAAAACTTTGAGTACATGTTGATTCTGTACCCACTTTCCCAAAAACAAGGTAAAATGGAGCTGCCAAGTCTTCCACTGCCAGTCGCGCAAAACGTGTTCGCGTTCGCCGTGGCTGGATATGCGGACTACGAGCCACCCGAATGGCGTGACTCACGTGTCGTCCCGGCGTTAAAGGCTTTTAAACTCGTATCCAAGTCGTGGGCTGCTCTTATGCGCGAGATAGTCCACCTCTTCCAAGACTCGACGCTAGTCCTCCGATTTAAGCCGTCTTGGACGCCACTGGAACTACCGCTGATGTACCAAACAGTGTCGGAAATAGGATCACAAATTACCGAGTTATTTGTGTGCATGGGTACAATTGATCGCTGGTCCCAGTATTTTAGCATGCCGTATGGGCGATGGGATACGACGGAGAACATCAACATTAACTGGTCCCGAGTATTCGCCAATTTGCCTGCGCTAAAGACGTTGAACCTCGAGGCGAATTATATGGATAGTCGCCATGTTTTTGGTGCACTAGAAGCTGCATCTACTCATTGTATTAACTTGGAAACGCTGGTGCTTCCTGCTCAGCAATTCGGAGGGGGCGACGAACGCATCCAAGCGGTTCTGGAGACACTATACACCGCTATGAAGAGGTGGAGACTACAAGGAACTCGTGGGGGGCTTCGTCATTTAAAAGTACCTCTGAGATTTTATCACAGGGAGAAATTTAAGACTAGCAAGGAGTTTTTTGATAATGTCGTGGAGAACTGTCCAAATGTCGAGTATCTGGATGGCTACAAGGCATCTCTATCGAAGATCGATGCCTTGACTTGCAGTGATACATGGCTGTTGATGCTGGAAGACTGGGAGAAACTCAATGCGACGTGCACTAGGCTGCGCGAATTTGATTGGGTCGTTGTTCCATTTGCCGACCCCTATTTTCGGGTTTTCGGCCAATTTGTAAAGCCGCAGATGAAAAAACTAACGTTTGGGGTGAATATGTACTGGAATTGGCGACGCTACTTCTATGAGTGCAGTAAAGCTGCAGGTGTTACCCCAGATGATGACTGGGATGACGATGATTTTTGCAACCGCCAGGGCTATGGACTTGACGCTACCGACCCTGCTGCAGCGCTAAAAGGCTGTCCTTTGCTGGATGAAGTGATTGTCAAACTTTATCATGCGGTTGATCGCAATATGTACATTCCTCCAGATATGGGCGATGCCGATGCTTTTCCCGAAGTGGAAATGGTCAACCAGGACGTGTTCGGCGACCATTTTTGCGAGACGTTGGCTTCGCAGTGTCCTTTCCTCACTCGCTTTGTGATTAAGGAGGTTGGCGAGTATTTTAACCGAAAAGAGCTAAAGCCAATTTCAACCTTCACGGATCGAGGATTGATGGCTCTAACGCAGCTCAAATATCTGCGATGTCTTCAACTCCGCAGTATTAATTGCACCGGTCAAGGTCTTCTCGAGTTTCTGAATACCCAATCCAATGAATTCACTGGGAATCGTAGTTTTGAAATCACTGTGGGGGGATGTCCTGAAGACTCGAAGCTAGTTTTCTATGAGATAGTTAAACAGTTGTTGACTACGCTTGCTGATACGCTAGATGTGCAGTGCACTCGACAGAAATTCGCGCTACGTATTGAAAACTGGAGCTATAACTCTCGTCATCATGTTGATCCCGTCTGGAGTGAGACATACCTGAGCGACTTGGAGGAGCTTATGAACCGCGTGAAAGACGCTCATCCATCTCTGCGTCAGCACGTCGTCACGATGGACCGCAGCGGCAAACGTTTCTCGAGAATTGCCGAATTTGGACTCTACACGACGCACATGGAGCCTTCGGTTTACTGTAACTGGGAAGATTGGGAACACGAGGAAGAGAATAAGGGCATTACGATAGTTGATCGCGAAGACTTGCTAGCAGACGACAGAAGCTTCAATGATGATGCGAGCGACTTTTACGGCTACGATGACGAATATCTTGGAGGGAACTTTTACGACGGAGAAGGTGAGAGCGACATTGACTCTGAATACCTTGATGACGATAGCGACTTTGAGATGTAGGTGAACTAGCTGTAAAACAGTTTATAATAGTAAAAACAATGAAAATAATGTTTTTTTAAGTAGTGCAAATAATTTTAGGATCAGCTTTGCTCGATTTTATTTTTAAATAAAAAGAGTTTAAAACAGTAGATGGTTTATTTCACTATTTTGAGCCTTTGTGCTACCGGCGCTTTTACCATTTTCCGGTCACAAATTTTGCCTAAACTTTGTAAGATAAAGTGCAAAAAGCGAGCAAGATGGAGCACATTCCTCCAGCACTCTTCACGTCCATCGTGGCGTTCGCTGTGTATGACTACAGCGAGGACCTGATCCCGACGAAGCGCAAACTGCCTCTAGAGGGTCTCAAGCCTCTCGCACAGGTCTGCAAGTCCTGGTACCGACTCATCGACGAGGTCGCGTGTCGCTCGAAGCGCTCCACACTCAGTCTCAAGTTCTCTTCAGGTTCTCGTACCGAAATTTTGGAACTTCGCCGGCACATTTTGGAAAGAGGCTCCAAAATACTGGATCTGAGCATCCAAATGGGGGAAGCGCCACCACGCGGAGGTGGAGCTCACCCGCTTCGAACTGCAATTTTGTCGACTTGGGGTCACAAAAGCTTCCAGATCGACTGGGACGTGATTTTTTCACGCGTTTCAGCACTACGCCGACTCGATCTGTCCGAAGTCCAATTAGTAAGCGGACAAGTAGAATTGATCCTCAAAAGTGCAGCCAAATACTGCAGATATATTGAATCTGTGACGTTGGCTACAGTGGATGAAGTGGCGCAAGGTCGAGTTGACTTCGACTCGATCCTTGCAGCTTTGTACGCTGCATTGGAGACGTGGTACTCCAGTGGAACGCACAGAGGACTGAGGCAGTTAACTGTTCCGGTACTGGATGAGAGAAACCGGTTCCAGACATGTAGACAATTTTTTGACAATATTGTGAAATTTTGTCCGGAACTGGAATTTTTGGATGGATACAAGAAGACACTAAATGAAATGGACAAGTTGGTATGTCGTGATGACTGGCTGATCACAGTGAATCAATGGGACGAGTTTAACGCCAAGTGCACGCAGTTGCGGGAGTTCAATTGGGTAGTTGCGCCTTTCGCTGACCCATTCTTCAGGGTGTTTGGAGAACATGTAAAACCTCACTTGAAGAAACTCACTTTTGCCGTGAATATGTTGTGGAAGTGGGAAGAGTATTTCGACGCATTGGATGAGGCAGCTGGGCTACCTCCTACGACTCATACGACGTGGCACAGCTTCTCCCAACGACCAGGGTATGGCTATAAGGCGACCGATGCGAGCAGTGCACTGAAAGGGTGTCCTGCGTTGGATGAGTTGGAGATTCAACTGTATCATCCTGTTGACGAGGATGAGATGGGGTTTGATGATCCATACGAGGACGACGACACTGCTGATTTCCCAGACGAGGAGGTGCTGAATATTGACATTTACAATGATAAGTTCTGCGAGACTTTAGTAGAATCTTGTCCGTTGTTGACTAAGTTTTCCATCTGGGAGGTTGCTGAGGGACACAACAGCAATTTCATCCCTATTCGAACTTTTACTGACCAAGGACTTGTAGGTCTGGCGAAGTTAAAATACTTGAATTCGATGGAGCTACGTACGATCAACTGCACGGGCACCGGCGTGTTCGAGTTTCTAAATGGACTATCAGAAGAGTTTTTGGGACAGCGAACGTTCCAAATCTGCGTTGGAGGACACCCCAGCGACTCTCGATTGGCATTTTACAACGCCATTCCAGAACTCTTAAAGCAGCTGGAAGCGAGAAGTGCAGAGCAGCTGAAATGGGGACGTCGCAAGTTTATTTTACGTCTGATGAACTTGAATTTCGCCTCTGTGGAGCCAGGCTGGAGTGAACAATATCTTCGCGACTTGGAGCCCATAGTGAAGAATGTGAAGAAGATGCATCCGAATCTTCGTCTTCGTATTACGACGTCTGGACGCAGAGGTAGTAGCTTCCGAAGTATCACCGAGTTGGGGCTGTACACTTCGAATGCTAAACCTAGTATTTGGTACGGTTGGAATGAAGAAGAGAGCGACCAGAATGTTACCTTTGTGAATCGTGGCGGAGGGTCTTCCAGCTTTGATCACGCTCAAAGCAGACTGCCGGTTGAGTTGCGTCACCCTGAGTTACTTGATCCAGACTCGCTACCTATCGACTACGAGTTACCAGCAGACTATTTCGAAGACTACGGGTATGGTGGGTACGGCGACTTTGGTGACTATGACGAAGACACTTTTGATGATGGATTTTACGATGCCAACGCAGACGAACTGTGGGAATAAGACGTGGAATACCACTCTACTACTTGGTTATTTAGGACAGGGACTGCTATTATGTTGCTCAAAAATGAACAGTAAAAGAAAAAAAATCATTTTGAACGTTTTTTTCGGCTCGATTCGCGACAATGTGACCGTATTTTAGTGATTCCGCCTGGTAAAAATATACACATGTGTAGCACGCGTCTGTGATGTACAAGTGTAAATTTTAAGATGTTGTTCGCTTTTGGCTGTGTTCCTCTGCTCTTACACTCCGCCTGAATCAGGTCCTGATAGCATGCTTTGTGAATGTACACGTAGCCCGTTCGTGCTCACTTGCGAGGTGTAGAGATGACGCTATAAGCGCTCTCGCAAGCAGCTAATGCGGCCTCTTCATTCCTGTATCTTCCGAGATAGAGTGGTTTCTGGCCGCTCAGATGGAGCTTGGCGCTGTATACTGATTTCTTCTGCTTGGTCACTACGAATCGTTGGTTGTCGTCGCCGCTGCTGGAGCCTTCGCATTGAGACCGACCGTGGGAGTAGTCGCTGTCTCGTTCTGAGCTGCCCGACTGTAAGGACGATGTTCCCTCTCTGAAAGACTCGTATGATGATGGTGCATGCGAGGAACGGCCTTCAGAGTACGACGAAGACGAACTTGGGATCGCACTGCCACGTCCGGAGCTGTACGTGTCGCCCTCAGCACGCACCGCTCGACAGTCATCGTCGACAGGCGAAATCGTCTGGATGTGTCGTGAGCGACCGGCGCGATTCTTTCTCCACTGCTGCTTCTGACCCAGAACCGTGTACTTCTGACCTATGGGGGGTCCACCAAAAGTGTCTTGCTCCTGGTTCGAGCTTCTATCTCCGAAGAACTGTCCGACGCCAAGTCGGCTGAGCATCCCAACGTCAATAGAGTTAGCACTTTTGCGTTGCAATGGGTACTCTGCGTCTTCCGGAACATCGTTAATCTTCAACGCCACGGCAGCGCCGCGCATATTGATCGCTGAGTCCATCGCATTGTTCGAGTGTCGACGTAGTGACGCACTGGATCGAGGGCCGAATCCGTTGCCTTCCTCGCCCATGGACAGATCTCCATCTTCGTATGTATCCATGTCGTCGACGACTGGAGATATCACCGCTTGGCTCTTTGTTTTGGAATAGTTCATGCCACCGTAAAGACCACGGAGACCAATCCTGGGCATTTTATGGAGCCAAGTTATACTACTGAATGTGCTTCCACGTCTTGTCGAGGGTTTCTCCGGCACAGGTGTCTACTATTCTTAGGGAACATGAGATCAAGCAGACCCAACGTATTTTTTCAAAAAAAGTATTTGATATAAATTCATGCTTCGGCAACGACTACCTTAGCGTTAGATCGGCAGAGACCTGGTGGACGACTCTGTCGTGTCAGTGGACATGCTTGAGCCCCAACGCGTGGACCAGCGTGAAATCCGAGATTGCTTGCGCGTCGCTGTCTTGCAGCCCACACAGATCCCCACTGTGGTATTCCTGGCGCCACGCACTTCTACCTCTTCAACATGGTGGCACGCGTGACAAATCGCATCGCCACAGGCGACGCAGTTGTATCGTCGAGTGTCGAGTAGTTTGACAGCACCGAAATGTTTGCTGCAGCATTGACAGAATTCCGCCTTATGCTTGTCTGTCCACTCGGACGGAGCTGCAAACGTCGACGGATCCAGTTGCTTACGTCGCAAGTGGCCGACGACGCGGTTGAGGACAGCACCGAAGCGAGGCATGACGTACCGCGTCGCTAATCGGGGCGCAAACCCGCCAGCTTCGATGCCCACAAGGTACGCAACTTTCGTCTCGGAATTGGGATCCCCGCTATTCTGGACGAAATATCCCGAACGGAACATTCGACTACGGATGAATCCTTGAGGAACGTCGAACTCGGAGACTTCAGGCAAGTTGAGCGAGTCCCACACGCAGTAGCCTACAGTAGATCCATCTGGACGATGAATTACATCCGTGGCCACGACGACACACATGTCGCGGTGGTTGCGTAGTAACGCCGGTGTCTTGAATGCCGTGTAGCGGACGTACGACGAGCGCATTGGATGCTCTTCCGACGGATGTTCCAATACGCTCAAGATCCTGGCGTCCATGAGATTGTCATACATGATACGGCAGCGCTGTAGCAACGTGTCCGTATCGGACACGAGGAACAGGCTGATGACGTCCTCAACAGAAGCGTCCGTGGAGCTCACACAGCAGAAACGCGACTGTCCTTTGGTCACGCTCTCTCTGTCCTCGTAGTATTCGACGTCGTCCTTGCGCATCTTGCTGCGCCAGTGAGCGTCTGTGGTTCCTTCGTGCATCATACTGTCCAGTACGTCTTCGACGGCGGAAGAGATCTGCTTAACGAGCAAGTCCTTCACGTCTTCCGACAGCTCCAAGTACTCTGGCTTCCCAGTTGACAGGGGGACACCCTCAGCATTGTAGCTTGACATCGAAGACGACGACTGCTTTGCCAACTTTTGGGGCATCGGAGCCGAAGATGAACGCTTGGCGAGTCTCTGCTTTGAATTCGCCATGATACTGTAGATATATCCGCTTAGTCGAACCCTGCGATGTGTCAATCGATGGCCCAATCTGTCAATGAAGCACTTGTCCGGTTTGCAATGGCGGAATGAGGACGACCAAGAGGAGAGAGAAGATCCGGTCTTACGGCAATCGTACTGTTGGTGAGACCGTGTCAACTGTCAATTGAGAGTTGCAAACTGTGTTGTGGCAAATATTGAGCTGAAAGCCATGAAAACTGCAGGTTGCACATGCCACAGCTGTACGCATCTCTAGCCAGGATCCCGGCCAAGAATCATGCTGGCATACAGAAGACAGATTGATTTTGATGCTCGAGATGTTCTTGCACGTAAAAACTTAAGCAACAGCAGGCGCGTCGCAGGAAGGGAAGAACGGCATTACTGAGGGAAGGTGGGTGGGTGCCTTCTAGCCTGAAAAAGTGGCTTACAGCTACGCGAACGAGAAGTTGACCTGCGGGTGTTTTGGAACGTACGCAATATATAACACGTTACTTCAGTACATTGCATTGCACTTGTCCTTCATGTTGCTGTTTGCCAAACAACGTCCGGTGTTATTAATATCAGTGACTTGTCATGATAAAAGCGTACATGTACTTCGAAGCTCGAAGTGCATGCACGGCGAAGGCCGGTGTTCATGTACCCACATGTATTAGAGCTCGTTGACTGTCCATGATCGACATCCGGATCTGCTGCTGGCGAAAAATTGCGCCTGTTTCCGAGGAAATCACTCAACTTCATCTCACAAACAAATGAGCGGAAATATTTGCCGGTGTGTACTTCAAGAGCTGACCGCAGCTTTCTCTCAATGTACCAGCGCTAAAGAGATGCGATCTCCTCTTTCGCTGCACTTCTTGCTCGTGGGATAAGTTCGGTATGCTTTTTAATGGTGCGTCACGAAAACCGAGTTTACGTGAATATCCTGGCTTCCATGTTTCCTATCGGGTAGATTTTGATCCGATACGCCGAACAGTAGGAAATTGGTAATCGGAAACGATTTCTGTTTCAAAAAGGATCGTCAGTGACGACGTCACAGCTTTCTCGATTGTTCGACAACTTCACACAGCGTGTGCAAGGGTTGTGCAGCGTGGGTTAACTTTGCTTGGGTCACCAAATATGCTGTGACGGTTGTCATGACCGCACCGAAGCCACTGGCTTAGCCAGGTGCCTTTCACGAGCGCTTATATCGCTTGTAGCCTGAGTCGTGTATTGTATGTGATTACTTGATGCAGACGCTAAATAAGCTAATTTCCGCCTCCATCTGCAGACACTACAGTACAAATTACTAAGCTCAGCTTAGGCGGAAACGCCGCATGTGCATGTATCGTTCATACTTTTCAAACATAGCAGTGCCAAATTCCCGTGTTGCTGGTTGAAGCTGCTGATTGATCTGATCTGGGTTTGTTTAAAAAAGTGTTGATAGCGTCTAGGAAAACGCTACATGTATCCTTCTGAGCTGTCTATTGGTGATGAAAGCACGCGAGCTGGTCACGAAATGCTGTAACGGAATTTAATAAGGGTCTGGCGCTCATACGCAAGGCTTACCCACGAATCGTCGATGCGATGCATGTATTATGTATCATTATCATTATAAGTTTATCATTGAAAATTACAGTACTCTTTCTTTCATTAGTATATTAATACTAAATACATAGTATTTGCTGTCGTGGTCAAATAACAAAATAAGGTGCTGTAGTACCTCGAAGTACTACTGGTAAGTTCACGTGTCAAAATTATTAAAAGATACTTCGAAGTACTTTAAAACATGAGGTGGAATTTGTTTCACGCTAGAATTTTTCATACTTGACCCAGCCATCACATGTACAGAGATCTGGTAGATGACTCTGTCGAATCGGACGAAAAGCTTGTTCCCCAGCTTGACCAGCGTGACATTCGTCGGGACGAACTCTTACCGATGTTGTCGGTTTTGCAGCCAACACAAATTCCTGCTGTTGTCTTCCCAGCTCCTGGGATTTCAATTGCTTCGACGTGGTGACAAGCATGGCAAATGGCGTCACCACACGACACGCAGTTGTATCGTCGAGTGTCGAGTAGCTTCACTGCGCCAAAGTGTTTGCTGCAGCACTGACAGAATGTGGCCTTCTGCTTGTCAGTCCACTGGGACTCGGACACGAACGTAGAGGGGTCGAGTTGTCTGCGACGGAGGTGTGCGATAATTCGGCTGAGAACTTCACCAAATCGAGGCATGTAGTAGCGCGTAGTGAGCCGTGGCGCGAGTCCACCAGCCTCGATACCGACTACGTAGGCAACCTTGGTCATAGCTCCCGGCTCTCCAGAGTTCTGCACAAAATATCCGGAACGGAACATGCGAGTCCGGATGAAGCCCTGTGGTACATCCAGTTGAGAGATCTCGGGTAGATTAAGCGAGTCCCACACGCAGTAGCCCACTGTCGATCCGTCTGCGCACTGGATGACGTCGGTCGATACAACGACGCACATATCGCGATTGTTGCGTTGCAGTGTCCTGGCCTTAAAGGCAGTGTATCGAATGTAAGAAGATCGCATCGGATGTTCTTCCGACGGATGCTCCATTACGGTCAAGATCCTGGCGTCCATGATGTTGTCGTACATGATACGGCACCGCTGCAACAGCATGTCGGTATCGGACACTACGAACAGGTTCACCACCTCCTCGACAGAGGCTTCCGTGCTGTCAACGCAGCAGAAGCGCGTCTGTTCCTTCGTCACGCTCTCTCTGTCTTCGTAATAAACAATGCCGTCCTTACGCATCTTGCCGCGCCAATGAATGTCCTCTGTGCCTTCGTGCATCATACTGTCCAAGACGTCCTCCACCGCCGCTGATATTTGTCTCGTCAGCACGTTCTTCACCTGATCCGGTAGCACTAAGTATTCTGGAAGGCCAGCGGAATGCGGGATACCCTCGGTATTGTAATTCGACATTGACATCGACGACGACGCTGTCAATCGTCGGGACAATGCCGCCGAAGTGACGCGCTTTGGGACCTTAGAGCTCGGCATCTTGTGTTAGCACCTCGTGCCTTTGAAGTCTTTTAGTGTGTCAATCGATTGTCTAATCTGTCAATGATCGACTTCGATCCGCTACGTACGATGCAGCTGAGGAGAAGGTTCTGATCGATTTTTTGTGTGGAGACCATTGGTCGGTCCAATGAGCGAGATATCCGGTGCTACAACAGTGGCAATCGAAAATTGTAGGCGAGCCGGATCAAGGACGGGCCGGATAGACGAAGAAAATCGTCGAGATGCACAGGTTCGCATCTTATCGTCAGAATCCCAGCCAAAGCAAAGTTTATCTGCCGAAGTATGAAGGGCACTCATGCTCTTGGCACTGCAAGACAGCCGCACCTTCTTAATATGAGCAAATATTGTTTGTAAAAATTAATAGAATCTCGAAGTTTGAAACTGCAATATTTGTAGATACGTCTATCTGAATACCATCCGAGCACTAAAAAACAACGATGCCAATGCAACGCTAAGCTGCCGGTAACATTGCACACAAAATGGCAGGTGGTCATACAGAACATGCAATGCATGCACATGCACTTTTGGTCGACGAATGGATCGTTCGCTTGTCTGTCCACGACTCCAATCCGGATCTGTTGCACGGAAAACGTACGATTTGCCCCCAGAATCTGCGAAAATCGCTTCGAAAGCGGCCGCCGTAATGCTGGCAGCGCAGTTCGTTGACACCGGACTGATGACGACGGGATTCCGGTCACCGGATCACTCCTTTTCATCGTGTCTTCTGGAATCTCGGTGCACGAACTTATTCTCCGTATAATACCTGTACTCAGTAAAAATATGTGAGTATTAAGTAAATCTATGAGTTCATGAGCATGTCATCGCTCTTCGTTATTAATATATGATAGCCCATCATCATTGATAGGGATCAACGACACAACATAAACCCCATAGCCACCTTGAAGCATGTACTATTGTACTCGTCAATGAACGTTGGACCAGATTATTTTAACATGCCATTTGAAAAGGCGAAACTTCTCGAGCTGGCACCAAAATAGAACAAGGAGCCTACGTAAATGTTCCTTAGCATCTCGTGCATCTACACCATTTCAGGTTCGTTCTAATAATTCCAATTTTTTTTTTTATTTAATCTTAAACTAATTGGTATAATTTTTTGACCCATAATTTTTTTTATATATGTTTTTTTCGTGTATTGATAAATTCACCAAATTTGAAGCCAATCATTTTATCATTTATTTCTAAATTAATAAATATTTTACCATTATAAACACTTACAGAATGATTACTATATTCAGGTAATATTGTTAAATTTTTATTAGAACGAACCTGAAATGGTGTAGATGCACGAGATGCTAGGGAACATTGCAAGAGCCGACTTGCACATAGGACCGGGCAAATCTCAGTTCAAAACACCCAATGCCTGAGTTCAATACACACAGGTGTCTCTTTTTTTTTTGGCCAATTACTGCGAAAGTACCAACTTTTGTCATTTCGAGACCATTCGAGAACTCAAAGGCATCCATCCATTCATCGCTTCGCCTCGCGCACCTTTCGTTTTGGCATAATGAGTAGTACTTACCCTGAAGACGTTCGTGCACGTGTCCTCGAGGCTGCGAAGAAGGCTGAGAACTGCCGATTGGTAGCAGCTGCACAACGGTCTTATGCTGAAGACTGCGAGGGCTCCACGTGGAATGCGACTCGAATTCCTCGATTGTCCTCGAAATGCCAAAAGCGGGTACTTTTCGCATTAATTGGCCCCAAAAGGAAACACAGACACCGGAGGGTGGTTTTATACAGACTCTAGCGCACCTCGAAATATAGCAATCGTGTGCGAACGCCACCAGATATCGCGGCACTCGCTAATACGCACTCTCAATCAATCCTCTCAAAGGGTCCTCAGAAGCATCAAAA